AAGGCAACCCAGTGCGAGGACACTGGTGTTAATTCACCCCTGAACCACCTGTGACTGGCAGGTATTGGTGTGGCTGGGATTTAATGTCATTGAAACGAATCAAGTGCATATGTAGAAATCATAACTCATTGGTTTTTGAACTCACATGGACAATATGTACATAGACTTTTGTAATACTGAAAAGAAGCATCTTTATTCATCATTCTACAATTTTAAGTATAGTTTTGGGTATGGAGGTTTTGTTTTTGTTTTTGTTTTAGCTGAGCCATCCTGCCACCTGTTGGCAGCTCAGCTCGGGCTGGGCATCAAACCGCTGTTGCTCAGAGCTCACACTCTTGAGCGAGCTCTTAACCAACTGAGACACTCGGTCCGCACCTTGTTTTTTGTTTTTTTTCTTGATGCTTACACGATGTTTGAGTGACCCAACACATGGATGGCACACCAGTTTTAAAAAGCAAGGTTTTCTTCATACTATAGGGTAAATTGAATTATTTTGAGTGACATTTTTTTCTTATTCAGTCAGTGGACATTTTTAAAAGAAATATTTATCTTTTTGTATGTATATTGATAATCTTTTTAGGAACTGATAAAAGGTATATAATCAAATTCGGAAAGTGAAGAAATACTTTGTTTTTAAAGTATTTCTGCTTTATCCTTTTATTTTCCCTTGATATCAGCAGTTTGGATTATATCACTTAAGTTATTTTAATTCTCAAAATTGTGTGACCTTAACTGCAGTGTTATTGCATTACTTACCAGAAGAGGTTATTTTGGTGAACTAATTATGTTTAGATACTTGGCTTTAAATATATATTTAATTTTCCCCATGTTATGTTTTGATACTATCCTAAAATTTTGAAATTAAATGTTCTAAATTTTTCTGCTTTGTATTGGTAAATTCAATATTTTGGAATATTAATTTCATAATTTTAACTGCCTACTGCTAAATGAAAGAAAAATCTGCAGAATTTGGTTTTTGAGTTGTTTTTGTTGCACGTGTTTAAATGTTTAAAGCAAGAAATGTGAGGATGAGAAGGATTGTAGATTTTATTGATTACCAAAGGGCTTGAATTTTAAAAGGATGAAAAAAATACTACTTTGAACTAACAATACCTAGCTGTAGTCTGTCTAAAGCAACCTTTACCCTCAGTGCTAATTGGTTTAAAGGTAGAATGTGTTTTTGTCTCTTTCCAAGAAACGGGAAGCCCATTTTTTCATTACATTACTTTTCAGAGAACCCTAAGAAAGTGTAGACTTTTGTCAAATTTTAATGTTTGAAAGCCCATTCTCATTACAAGTCTGATACAATATCACTTCATAATATTTTGATGGGAAAACACTTTTGGACTCTTTGATAAATGGCTCCCATGTTTCAGATATTACTTTGATTGAATATGATTCTAATCCCCAAAGTAGTTTGAACATGCCCTTGAAGTTTTTTCTAAATTAATTAGAATGGCATAAATATCTCATAATGTCCTTCAGTATACATTTTTTTCCTGAAGTTTACTGTAAGATTATTCTTTTTGTTTAGACATGGGAAAGTCTTTTTCTCATTTGCCTTTGCATACAAATAAAGAAGATGCTTATGGTGGAGTCGGAGCAACTGAAAATTTGAGGAATGGATTGNCAGAAGATAACATGTCAATAGGGAATCCTCACACAATCACCCTAAATGTAAATAGTCTGAATTCACCAATAAAAAGGCACAGAATAGCAGATTGGACAAAAAAACAAAACCCAACCATACGCTGCCTTCAAAAGACACATCTCAGCTGTAAGGACAAATATAGACTCAAAGTGAAAAGGTGGAAAATGATACTCCAAGGAAATGACATCCGAAGAAAAGCAGGTTTATCCATATGTACATCTGACAAAATAGACTTCAAGATAAAAAAGGTAACAAGGGACAAAGATGGACATTTCATAATGTTAAAGGGGACAATAAATCAAGAAGATATAACACTTATCAAAACTAGCCTCAACAAATTCAAGAAGATTGAAATCATATCATACCAGGCATACTCTCCGACCACAATGCTTTGAAATTGGAAATCAACTATAAAGGAAAGCGGGGAAAACCACAAATATGTCTACATTAAACAATATGCTACTAAAAAATGACTTGGACAAAGAAGAAATAAAAGGAGAACTCAAAAGATGGAGAAAGAAATGAGAATGAAAATACAATGTATCAAAACTATGAGGATGCTGCAAAAGTGGTAACAAGAGGAAAGTTTATATCATTACAGGCCTATCTCAAAAAACAAGAAAAATCTGTGGTCTCTCCCCTGGCTCTAGACTATCCTGTATCTCCACTTGATGGTGAACAGGTACGCCAAAATTAACATGTTAAGAAAAGTCTTATTTCCCATTCATAGTCCCCAGCCACATCTACTTCTCCATTTCAGTTAATGATACATACATACCACAGTTTACACTGATCTCAGGGCAAAATCCTTCTTGTCATCTATGATTTACCTCATTACTCCACCTACTATATTCAGTCCATCAGTAAGTGTAGTTAGCTCAACCTTCAAGTTCCAAATCCAACCGCTTAATCCCATATACTGCACACCATCCTAGTCATGAAAAGCCTTCTTACAGGTCTCCCAACCCTGGTCTCTGCAGCATATTAATTGACACAGCAAACAGAATTACATTTAAAATAATGAGAGAGAGCAATAGAGAAAAAATATGGGAAAAGAATGGCAAGAAGGAAGACAGAAAAAAAGAAGAAAAGGAGGACAGTGGAGGAGAGGAGAAAAGAGAAAGTTCAGGAGAATGAGGTGAACATGAGAGAGAATGTGAGAGAGAGAAAAGAAAGGAGGGATTGGGGGAAACTGAGAAATAGAATGGATAACTAAAAAGAGCAGTGAGTTAAGAGAGAAGAAAAAGACAAAATGGAGTCATCCTTCTTTCTCTCTTTCCCACCTTCCATATGTGATTAATCAGCAAATCCTATTGATCCATTTTCATCATCTATGTGAAATCTGTCCATTGACCATCACTTCCACCACCACTTCTCTAATAGGAACCATCGCTTCTTGCCTGGACGACTTTTAACACTTCCTGATTGGACAACTTGCTTGTGCTCTGGATGTATCCACAATCTATTTGTCACATACTAGCCATAGTGATTCTTTCAAAATGTAAATCCATGATATCATTTCCTTACTCTCAATCCTCCAATGGCTTCCCATTATACTAAACGAATAATAACAGTGCTTGATTAGCTGAACCCATGCTAGTTCTCTGACCTTGGTTCCCATCACTGCCCGCCTTGCTCACTCTTCTTCAGACACACTGAATAGCCCCAAGNCCAGGATTGACTTGTTTTAGCCAAGCCATTTATTTTGAAATTGCAAACAATGTCAGTGGAGGATGTCCACCCCTCCCCTACCTTTGGAAGACTTGCGCTAAAAGAGGAGGTTGTAAATTATTTAATCAGTGCCCCATTGTGGGACATTTAGGTTAAAAGCACACACTTTGTACAAGAATATTTTTTGAGTTCTCATTAGGTTGAGATTAAATTCCAAAGGATGGGATTGCTGGGGTAAAAAAATGTGAAAATGTAAAACTCTTGATACATACTGCCTAATTGCTTGCCAGAAAATTTGAGTTCACATCTTTGACAACATTGTGAGAAGTTTCATTCTCATACATGGATATATAATTCTAAATAATAAGTTGTATATTGTTTTGAATTGCATGTCTTACTTTTACAGACTCCATTGGACAAATACACCAATCCTGTCAGAACAGAGACAGTCACTTCCTTCCTTAATACACACACACACACACACACACACACACACGTTGTAACCATGAATATAACAATTCATTAAATCTCAGACTTTCTGCAAGCAATGAGTCTACTCTGTGCTTGACCGTTATTCCCTGTATTCTACCCAACCGTCAGAACAACTCTGTATTGTTTTTCTCATTTTCTAAACGAGATCACGTAGCCTTTGAGACGTTAGAGGGAGTGGCCCAAGTCACAGCGATGAGCTGAAGCCCTGGGATCTCACGCTCCTTCCAGTAACTAACCAGTGACTTAAGGGGGGTGGAGGGACACCATGTACCAAAACAGAAATCAAACCAAAACAAAACACAAGCCAAAACCAAACCGAACAAAAACAGGGTTCCTGCCCGCTTACAGTTCCCTTCTACTGGGCAAGAGGTTCGAATTAAAATAAGTGGGACTTTTCGGTTGCCAGACGTGAGTCTACCACCCCGTGTATCCCACTCCCAGGGTCGCGCGTGTCAGGGATGGAACGTGGACTAGAAGACGGTTTAGCTGAGGACCAAGGCAGACATCGGACGCTTTTCCCCTTTGCAAAAGATAATGGTCTGACAGCGGGGGGGAAAGGAGGAAGACACTGCTATTAAATTTTTCAAGGCGAGAGTGGCCAATTTTTTACCTTTTAAGTCTTGAGAGACCAAGGTAACGAAACCAGGAGCGCGCACAAGCACAGCGGCCGCGCTTCCGGTGTCAGGAGGGCGGAGCAAGGACGGGTGCGTCACGCGCACTCCTGGGCCTCGCACCTACGAGCGCGCTCTGCGCAGGCGCGGGCACAGGTTGCTACAGGGTCGGACATCAGCTGATGCCGTGGTTGCGCTGCCCCTCCTTCCCAACTCCGCGGCGACCCTGCTGCAGGCCTGTCGCTCCAGCCCTGGCACCGGGGACTGCGGACTCCGTGACCCTGTCCTCAGGCCCGTCCGCGCCGGATCAGCTCGGGACTGCGCTGCGCCCCGGCTGCCGGTGAGCGATCCCGGACGGGCAGCCCCCAGGTCCCCTTCCGGAGCGGGGCCGAGCACAGACGCCGTGGAAAAAAACCGAGAGGGTGGAGGAGGGGAGGCCGCCGGGGAGCTGGGCCCGCCTGGCGACGGGGGGGAGGCGCTCTGGGTTGTGTTGATGGAGGGGTTGTGTCACCTCCTCCTACCCGGACCCAGACTCCTGCCAAGGGGCCCCACGCACGGGTTTGATTCCAGCTCCCCAACACTTTGTGTGGCCAGGTGGCCCCTGCTTCTGCTATTCTTGAGTTTTGGTTCACGGTTGCCTGGATCTTTTTAACCTTCCCAGTGTATGCTGGGTTTTGTTTTGTTTGTGTAGCTTACGAAGGGACTGGCTTCCTTACCACAGGAGATGACGACCTATTTAAATTGGATGGAGTGCTGTACTGTTTTGTTTTTCTCTTTATACTGAGTCTGAGATCTGTGTTGGTTTTCAGCAAATGAAAAGACTGCGATAAAAATGTTGAGCACAGAGAAGAGG